GTTCTCCCAGTCCCCCAGTCTGGAGGAAAATGGAACATTTCTACCAGAGATCCTGACATTTTAGATGAACGGTGTCAAACGCCTCCATGTTCAGCAACACCCGGGCTTTGTACGGGTTTCCCATTTTCAGCCAGATGTTTGGCATCACTCAACACAGAAGGCATAAATCTCTCTCTTTTCTTGGTAAAATCAGAGGAAATGTCTGGCTTCGGCTAACAAGATAACGTTGTTTAGCCGCTGAAAAATAAACCGATACTTGTCCAAAGGCCTGATCGAATCCTCAGCAACGTGAGGCCACGCTGCCGAGGCTAATGAGAAACACCCGGGTCTCAAGTGATAATGGCCGCCGTCTTGGGGCTGAGTGCCGGGCACCCCCCACCAAGGCTCCTGGAGCTTCAAGATTTTATCGCCCAAGTAATAAGCCTCAGGTATTGCCCTTCATAAAACATAAGAATTAAATTGACTGGTTTCAAACCAGGGTATTTTTTTCATTAAAGAACTCTATTTAGTTTACTTAAAAGCCCATTTTCGGTGAAAAGAAACAAAAAACTCATGTAATGATTTGTGTGCCCAGAGCAGGAACTGGTGGCTGCTCAGGGAAGAAGGGACCCGGGCACTGAGCCTGCCTGGGGCCTCTCTCCTGCTCCAGCAGCCTCATCTGGAACCAGAGTCCCTTCTACCAAGTAGGGTCCCTGTGGTCACTTGCCGGTGACCCTTCCATATGGGCCAATGTAATTTAGGCACTTTTATTTTTTTAGTCACCCTGTTTCCCTTTTGGAATGTCAAAGGTATTTTAATTCTAATTTTTCACATGGCCCTTTGAAATATTTTTGAGCAAACATTTTTAAAGTGGTGTTCTAGCAAGAATCCTTTATCCCCTAAAAACATAAGCATTTTTACTTTTCCTAGAAATCTTCCAAAATGCTTGTGTCCCACATAAATGAATCATGAACAGATCTCCAGCTGGAGCTGATATTAGCCAGGTTCTGAACACTCATAGCAAATATGCGATTAGAAGGAAAAAAACCCCACGGAGATGCCCATTTTCCTAAGTGGTCAGTGAATAGAATATTCAGTAAATGAAGCTTGGGTAATCATAAGCTATGTTCATCCCAATCTAACTTGAGGTTCCCATTATATTTCTCCCATTTTAGTTTGTATTAAACTGGTGTTAGAATGCTATCATTCGACTACAGTAAAAATGGCCTTTTTGCTGACAAAGCCTGTACTGGAAGCAGTTAACTATACAAGGAGCAGCCAGTGAGTTCCAGAGCTGGGGGGATCTGCCTTTTCACCCTGCAGCAGAGAGCAGGAATACGGTATCCACAGTGTTTGTGGTCCTCCGGCTCTGCCGGCCCCTATCCGCCCGAGGATGGCAGCCAAAGCCCCGAAGGCCTCCGACACAGCTCCGTGGGCCCTGCTCATCCCCAAGGAGGTAGGGGCTAGCAAGCCTTTCTTGCAAATTCAGTGAAGTACCTGCGTTTGCACAGTGTTGAAAAACCTATCTGCTTCAAACTGTCACTGCCATTCCACCGCCATCCCAGCGCTGTCCCAGCGTGCTGTTGCAGCCTTGGTCTGCCCAGTGAGACTGGTTTTATTTATAGTAAATTGTGGCTTGTTATCTTACTCATGAACCCGTTCACTGCATGAGATCATAGCACTCTGAAACAAGCATTTTATTCTATATTTTAGAAGGGACCTGACCTAAAAGCCCGACTCCCACAAACCCCGTGCAACCCCTGAGACTAGTGAAGGAAGGAAATGCTGCAAGCATGGGCAGAGGTGCCCACCCAGCCCCCACTACTCCCATGAATTGAATTCACACCCCTTCCAGTCCAGGAACCAGAGCCAAGCACCTGCCCAGGGAAGTCAGGGCCAGGTTGCCTCGTGAAGATGCAGGGCCAAGGGTCTGAAGCTCCACAGAGACCCCTGTGGTGAAGACCCAGCCAACTATGTGGCCTGCCTGAGAACACCAGCCTTGGATAGGACTGACGCCTCTAAGTCAAGGCCTGAGCTGGATCAGCCAAGCTGGGGAGGGAGCTCAAGGGTTAATCTATCCAAGCTCATGACCAAGGAGGCTGGATCAGAGCCGGCCCAGCATCTGCAAGTCCCTTTGGACTCAGGGCCCTCAGTGGGACCCCCTGGGGTGGGCCTCTCCTCACCTTGGGGGGGGGAGTCGGAACTACTATCTGGAGTGGCAGCGACCCATCTGGGTCTTAGAAATGGGCAGAAAGCAGGAGAAATCCTGACTCTCTTCACCCTGGTGCTGAGGGGGATATTTTCCACAAATTATATTGTCCTCTGGCAAGTAAAATTACAATGTATCAGTGGCCAAGCTCAACCGTTCCATCTCACAGCTCTGACTGACTGTGCCGTTCTCAGTGAGTCCCCAATCAGATAATTCTGGGGTTTTTCCCCCGAGAGAACCCCAAATGGTGGGCACTGGGAAGGTCAGCTGATAATGTTGTCCCACGAACAAAGAGGGTGGTCACCCTTCCCCACCTTCCCCCAGAAGGAGCCTAATGTGGTGTATAGACCCCATAAAGTAGTCCTGCACCCCACCCTACTCCGTCTGCACAGGCCGCTCTGGGACCTCTGCTGCCAAAAAGCCAGATCAACCCAGACCACGGAGCCCTTCTGGCCCTCTGACCTGGCCATTCAATCCTGTCTTTTTTCCTGAATTGACTGGGCTAATTAGCAGATCTTTCACAAACCCACTGAGATAGATGTAGCCCAGGAGTCCCCTTCCTTCCAAGGGGACCCCATCACAGCAGGTCAGCTAGGTCGGGGCAGTGGGGCTGGGGGTGACAATACTACTCTATCTTCTCTGCCCTAGCATGACCACCCTAGCCACCGTGCCGACCCCCCCCCCCCCGCAACATGCACGCACAGAGTCAGGCAGCTGTGTCATCCCTGGGCCCACCACCCCTCCACTAGCACCTAGGATTTTTTCAGAGAGCCATGGGAAATTTGGGCTAAGGCCTGCAGGTGAACAAAGAAGAGAGAGAAGGCCATTTTACAGAATGAAAGAAAGAAGCCAGAGGGCCCCAGACAACCCAGGCAGCAGCTTCCTGAGTCACATCCACAGGCCCCCTTTACCTAGGATTCTGTATTAAAGCCTTCCTGAGTGCTGTGCTTCTTTGGACTAGGACTCTGTTCAATGATCAGTCTGTCTGATTTAGGGGAGGGGGCTTCCAGACCAGGACAGCAAGCTTGGAAAATCACAGTAAATTCTGGGTTGTGCGGATGTGTGTGTGGGGGGGGAGCTAATTGTTTGGCCTATTGTGGAGCAGATATTTCTCTATAGCCTGTCTAGACAGCAGACAATAGACGAAACCAGCCCTCAGCTGCCGACATTTGTAGAGACTATAATATCACTTAGAAAAGTAAGATGAATGATATGAAAATAAAACCCAGCCTGGCCTGCCAATATCATGGTGGAAACCTGAGCAGAACCACTCCCAGCAATTCAGAAAGGACAACGGCTTACACCCCCACTCCAATCACCCTCTTCCAGCTCTGGCCACAGAACCCCAGTGCAAGCCCAGTGTCAGGCAGCTAGCTGGTCAGTCTTCCTATCCTTAGGGAGATGCACCCTCCAAAGCCCACCTGCACCACAGACAGGGCTGGCAGCCCCCACCTCACCCCAGTAGATAAAGCCTGTTAGGCTGAGGTGCAGTTTCAAACAGCCATGGTGAAAGCCAAGCGAGGGGATAGACCCCGTAAAGGAGCCCTGCACAGGGGAAATGCCCCAGGACCATTTCTTCCTTCACAATAAGGCAAAAAAACCTGTGCCTGCAGCCCACACTAGAAGGTGAGCCATGGAGTCCAGTGTGTAGAGGGACTAGTTTTGAAATACCACTGACTTCTTACTGAAGGGGTGAGGTGGAGGGAGAGAGGATGGCATTTTCTGTCAGAGCAGATTTCCATAAAATGAATCATTCACCAAACGTAAAACCCTTTCCCAGTCTCCCGGATGAGCCCTGAAGGGCAGCCATGCTCCCCAGCAGGAGCATTGCCTATTCCTAGGGTGCCATCTTTCTCCAAGTCATCCAAGAGCTTGGGGATCCCAAGACGGCTCACACAGAGGCTTCCACTATCCCTCTCCCTCACCAATCCAAACAGATCTCTTGCCCCCACTGGGCAGGCACAGACCCTACACATGCCGCTCAGATGATCTGTGGGACAGTGCCCAGCTCCACCCTGGCACAACCGAGGCCCAGGAGCCCAAGGGAGAGCCCATCGGACCAGGCTGGGCCCCAGGCTGAGGCTTCTTCTGAGGCCACAGGGGCCACCCAACAATGCCTCTGTGACCACACTGACCCAGCTCACTTTGGGCAGATACCATGAGACTCCTTTCTGCCCTCTCCATGAGCTTTTCAGATCTAGGCCTCTCTTCCACATGGGAAACAGTCCCCCTGTCTTCATTCCCATCATGTCCAGGTGATGATTCCGCCTTTGTCCGGCTTTCCTTCTGGGTGACTCTGTTGTCAGGACCACCAATGCCAGTGGCCTTAGACAGACACGCCCCTTGGTACCTCCATTTAGAAGGACAAGAAGCCCGTGAGCGTGGCCACAAGAGCCACAGGAAGGCCCTGGTGCATCTGACGGAAGAGAAAGAATCAATTTTCCACAGAATGTCCCCATTAAAAGTTTGTCTGCACAGCAGCCGGCATCCAACTCCCCAGTTAGACCTCTTCCCTCCAAGCCTGTCCCTGGCGGGAGGTCAGGAGCCTTCCACAGGGAGACAGATGGGAGGCCCAGTGACAGCTGTGCTTCACAACACAACAGGGAGCCAGGGCAGGGATCATTAAGCGTGTCCTTCCAGGGGAGACCTCGTGCCCTGCCCAGGAGGCGGCCAGATCCCCACAGAAGCCCATGAAGATGCTCTCCCAGCTGCCTCTTGGGCCAGCACTGCCTGCCCCTGGCACCAATCCCTCACAGGCCAGAGCCCTGTCTCTGAACTGTGCCCTGGGGTAGAGGAGGAAAGACACTGTTACCTCTCCAACGTCATAGATCCAGATGCGGCCTTCGGAATCCCCCACGGCCACTTCCTTGCCAGTGTGGGCCCAGCGGACACGGTTGAGGGCAGAGGCCCCCTCCACGGCTACACTAGCCGTTGGGACCTGCCGAGGAAGGGAGATAAAGTTCAGGTCTCTGAATGTGCCCTTCAGGGTCAGTTTGGAAGAGCACCCCCTCCCCCTCCCCCACATCAACACCACCTGAGTCCGGTGGGGGGGGGCCTGGCAAATTGTTCAGTTCCATACTCTGAGGCTGCCAAGCCCCAAGGAAAGACCTGGGTGGGGAGAGAGGGAATCTCTCTCTCCCTCTCTCTCTCTCTCTCTCTCTCTCTCACACACACACACACAAGCACATGCATACTCACATACAAACATGAGTATACAGGTACATTCACACACATACACACAAATACACACACGAGTACATTAATGCTCACAGATGCACAATCAATTCACACACATACATGACTACATGAGCACATTCACACACACCCACAAGCACACACGAGCACACACACACATACACACCCGAGGACAGGAGCCCATATATTCACAGATGTACTCAAGCACCCACACACACCCACACCCCGATTTTCCAGTTATATAGCTAGCCCCCCACAGCATACTTCCAGAGGGCCCAGCAGCATGCCTTGTGGGCCTGGGGAAGTCAGGGTTTCAGAAATTACAGCAGATTGAGATTGCTATGGGAAAATTTAAGGTCAAAGCAGAATTCATCTAAGAAATCCATGTGCATGTCATGTCAAGTCCCATTTGTGTAGGGAAAACCTGAGGCAAAGGAGGCCCAGAGGAGTGCCCCGAACCTCCTCACCAGGGTGGTCCCCAGTGCCGGAGCCATACTTCCGTGGCTGTCCACGTGGGAGGAAAACTCCAGCTTGCTTTAGCTAGCAGGTTTCAGGTCCAAAGCCTGCTCCAGCCCGTGGCTGCTGGGAGGGAGACCCCCAAAGCCCCAGAATGGCCAAACCGAGTTTCCTTCAAGGAGGCCCAGGGAGTGTGGGGGTGGGGGTGGGGCAGCTACAGCAACAGTAGCACCAAATACCATCAGAAAGCCGGTGTTTGCAAAGAAATGTTCAAGCGTATGGGGAAAACCCAGGACTGGGGGGGGCGGTGTCTTCCCACTCACTCCAGCCCAGTCTGGGACCTAGGACCCATCAGAGAAGCCAATAGCTTGGATCGGGCTAGAGCCTCATGGGCTATCATGTTATTCTGTGAATTAAAACCAAAGAGACTTAGCTCACGCTTGTTGTGAAAGGCTCAGTGATTCACCAAAAAGGCAGCCTGGGGTGGTGGGGAGAGGGCCCGGGCTCAAGCCCAGCCTCTGACCCAGACTGGCTCGGGACCCGGACGAGTCATTGGGCCTCTCAGTGTGGGGACCCACCTACCTCGGGAATGAGGCCCTGGAAACTCGGGATGCCAAAGAAGTTATATCATGGGTCCAAGGGAAAGTTTTTGTGGGTTTGTTTTTTCTTTTCTTTCTTTTTCTTTCTTTTAGATTTTGTTATGTGGGGCAGCTCTCTGTGAGGGGGAGTGGGAGGGATACTGAGAGAAATGATGTAAAAAAAAAGCTATCAGTAAAAAAGATTTCTCCTAAAAAAAAAAAAGGATAAAGCAGCTGCCTCGGGGTGGTTACGCTCCACTCTTTTTAAAAAGAAAGAAGAGGCCCCTTCATTTCACTTTGTGTGATGGGGCCTGCAGTTTGCAAGGTGCGTCCCTAGACAGGCAGGGGGTCGGCTTCTGCCCAGTCTTTCAGGAACCACCTCAAAGGCATCCCCACCAGTTGAAACGATTGTTTTTATCCTATTGCACCTACTGGAAGCGTTAAATGCTGATGTGTCTACACATGACCAGGGGAAAATTTTAGGGAGGCCCAGTCCGCTGCCGGCCCGGGCCTTGGGTGACTGTTCCAGGCCTGACTTTGTCAGGAATGAGAGCAATGGCGAAACACGAGGCCCTCTGACAACGAAAGTCTCCCAATAACTGGCGTTTTTAAAACCCATCCTTATTTTTAACATTCTTATTTTCCACCTGGAAGAAGGAGAGGGCCGAGGGCCTGGGGGCGGGCAGGACCTTTACCCTCCCCTTTTTTCATTGTTTCCCCCAGAATTTCCCAGAGTCGTCTTTGCAAAGACCGGGAGCATTTAATTACAAACAACAGGCTTGGAATTTTAGGCTAAATCCATGCACTGAACAAAGGGGATGGTAGAAAGCGACCGAACGTGGCCGGGAAACCTCGGGAGCAGGCTGGCTCCCAGAGGCCCAGGAGGCCGGGGGTGGGGAGACACCATATGCTGGGGGGCGGGGGACGGGGACGTGCAGCGGAATCGTGCTCTTGGACTAATCCAGAGTTCGGCCAGGGGTCAGAAGGGCACGGAGTTGGACGCGTGCACAGGTGTGACTGTGTGTGTGTGTGTGTGTGACTGCTCCATCCTTATCCGAGCTCCAGCCAGCGCGCCCCTAACTCTCCCTGTGGCGAGGAAGGGCGGGCTGTGTCCCGCCGCTTCCGTCCCCGGCCTGCTGTTGCGGCTGTTTGGCTGGGGGGAGGCGGTTGGGGATGGGGAAACACACTGAGAGGCCCCTCCCGGAGCGCCCTGGGCTTCTGTCTTGGCCTAGAGAGAGTGAAGGGGAGAGGGCGTGGCTTCTCGGGAAGTTGTAGCTCTGCGCCCCACCCCCCCCCGCAACAGTTTTCTAACAATCGTGAAATTGTTAAATCGGGTACCCCTCCAACCAGCCCAGAGGACTGGGGTGTGGAGGGCAGAGGGACTCCCACCGCGGACCCAAGTCTAAGGCCCCTTGGGCCACACCTTTTGGAGCCGACTGCCGCCCGGCGGCCCGGCCCGTCCTCACTAGGACTAGCCCCTCAGCTGCAGGGAGCTGGCTAATTAAAAGCGCTGAGCCGCTTCCTGGCCCCAGTACTTCAAAGGCCCCTTTACTGGGCGGGCAGCGCCCAACCCACTCCCATCCACCCCACCCCCTTTGCTCCTTCTTCTTCTCCTCCTTCTCTTTTCTCCTCACCTGTTCTCTCTGCTATCGCAGCTTCAGCCCGGGAAAGGCCTTTTGCCCTTGACCCTGAAGATTTGTGACAGCCCAGGCACAGGCTGGTCTACGCTCACTAAGAGGGAGTGGGTGAGAGGTAGGGGAAGGCAGCCGAGCCTCCTAGAGGGGTCAGGCTGCCCTGGTCGAGGGGCGAGACCCTCCCAGAACCCTGCCTCTAATTCCTGCTGTTTCCGCAAGCCCCCGGCGGCCTGACTAGCCAGTGGTGGGGTGTAGAGGCACCCCATAGTGTCAAGGGAGAGAGGAGATGAGAGGGTGCTGCTCCCCCTCCCCCACCAGTAGCCCTCTCCACCCCCCATCCCATGGGACCTTGGCGGCGGCTCTGACCTCAGTGTCGCTATTGAGGTCCCACAGATCCAGGCGGCCCATGCCGTCCACGCAGGCGAAGAGCGCTGGGTGCGCGGGGGACCACATGACGTCGTAGACATAGTCGGCGTTGTCCTCAAAGGAGTAGAGAGCCCGGTTGTGCTGTGGGCGGGCGGAGACAGAGTGGGGATGCTGGTAGAGGTAGGGTAGAGTGGGGTGGGGTGGGGCGGTAGGGCAGACGGGGAGGAGAGCGGGGAGCGCCCGGGGACTCGCGCTCCGACGTACACGGCCACACACACATGCACGGAGGGGCACACACACACAGAGTGACAGTGTGACACACTCATCCACCCGGGCACACACACACGGGCACCCCCTCCCCCCCAGACTCGCTGGCGCTGGCGCCGCCCCGGGCCCCTAGACCGTCTGGAAGAGTCTAATTAAAAACTTTGCACGTTTACAAAGCGCCATAAAACTTCCCGAGATGAAAGTCCCTGCCGGGCCCGCGGGGTGGGGGGTGGGGGTGGGGGGCGTTCAGGCGTGGGGAGGGAGACCAGGGCTTAATGTGCCCAGGAGCAAGCCAGCGAGACACTGAAGGAGGGACCAAGGGAGGGATGGAGAAGGGTGCCGAGCCCGGGGAGGGGGTAGGCAGAGATGAGGCTGATGGGGATTTGGGGAGATGTCAATTGCGGGGAGGGGGCCAGTGCTTTGGGAAGCCAGAGCCAGAGAGGAGCGCTAGGGCACCTGGGAGACCCCGAGAATGAGGGAGGGCCGTGGGCTCCAAGTTGGGGGCATTCCTGTGGGGACCCCCCCCACCTCAGGCAGGGCTAGGCTAGGCAAGGCTCCGCTCTGGGTCCCTCGAACTGGAGAAGGTGGGAGGCGCCTGCCCCCCAGCGGCCACGCGAGCCTCCTGCGCCTCGGGCTGGATCAGCTCAGTGAGATGGAGATGGGGGAGGGAAGGAGAGAGGTCCTGGAGACTGGAACCTGGCCAAGGAAGCCTCCCCGAGGCCCCGGGGCCCGCGCCGACCTCTGTCTCGGGTTCCTTCTACCATCCTTGTACCCCCCACACCCCAAGCCTTGGGCATTTCCAGATCCACTAGCCAGAAGTCCAAGGAGGTTTTCCAACTCCCTTTCAGGGCACCTCTGGGCCCCACTGCCCAGCCCAGCCTGCAGTCCCCTCCGTGGCAGGAGGGAAATGGCCCAGCTTGCGGGAATAATTGGACCGCATGCATTATTCATCCCGCGCCGCCCGCCTCCTAGGCAGCCGCGTGCCGTCTAATTTCTGCATAATGACTTTACTAATCCCTGATCAATTAATGGAAAATGAAATTTAAATGATAATGAAAACCCCTGAGAGAAAAGAAATTAAGTCTTCTTCTCTCGGGTGACAGAAAGCTAAACAATAGGGTCTTCCCCGGGCTGGGAGCAGCCGCCTGCCTCCTTCCCTGGGTGCCCGCGGTCGCGGGTACCCCCTCGCTCAGAAAGTTGGCCCGTCGGGCCCCAATGACAGTCGACTCGCCTAGGCGGCGACCATTGCGCAGTCCTGGCCCGTCTTGCCACAACGTTGCTCTCCTCCGGACGACCCCTGAGCTAGAGAGGACCCAGGAGACCTCACAGCCAGCTCCGAATGGAAGGAAGCCTGCCGGCGGAGCACGCAAAGCCCCCAGAACTCGGGGTCCCCTTGCGACCTGGACTCTGACTGTCCTAATAGGATTACTTAACAGCGATCGTTCTCTTAACCAGGCTCAAATGCTTGTTTGGACTTCACTTAGAGGAGCCTGAGAGAATAAGGTCCCAGACACAGAATTCAGTGAATTCAGTGATCGAAGACGCTGGTCTCACCAGCCTGAGCAGGCTAATTGGTCCCCCTCTCCCCCTTAAGGCAACTGGGGTTAAGTGACTTACCCAGGGTTACACAGCTGGTGTCAAGTGTCTGAGGCTGAATTTGAACTCAGGTCCTCCTAACTCCAGGGCCAGTGCTCTATCCACTGCGCCATCTAGCTACCCCTGACAGTCTCTGCTAAGCTTATTGTTGTTAAGTTTTTCAATTGTGTATGACTCTTCCTGAACCCATTTGGGGTTTTCTTGGAAACACACTGGAGTGGTTTACCATTTCCTTCTCCAGCTCATTTTATAGATGAGGAACTGAGGCAAGCAGGGTTAAGTGACTTGTCCAGGGTCACACAGCTAGTAAGTGTCTGAGGCCAGATTTGAACTCAGGAAGATCAGTCTTCCTGACTCCAGTACCAGTGATCTAGGCACTTCACCACCTAGCTGCCCTAGGATATGGTAGAGGCACGCCCAGTTCCCAGTGATCTCTCAATCACCAACCTAACGGCCTTTTCCCACTCCTTACTCATCCACACCCCTCTGCAGCCTCTCCCGGATACCTTCTCTCATGGTTCTCCTCCTACCTCGCTGACCACTCCTTCTTGGTCTTCTTTGCTGGATCTTCATCCTGATTTTTCCTCCAACGGTGGAGTTACACAATTCTCGGCCTCGTGGGTTCCTTCTCTTCTCCCTCTATTCTGCTTGTCCCGTGGCTTCCCTCATCACACCTCAGTCGGCTCAGACTCTCTCCTGAGCTGCAGTCCAGAGTGCCCAACTGCCCCTCGGGCGTGTCCGCCTGGAGGCCTTGCTTTGCTTTCAGACTTAACAAGGCCAACACTCACCTAGATGTCTTTCTTCCTCTTCCCACCTTCACTATTACTTTCCAACTCCACAGCCATCATTGGCTCCGCTCTTCACAAGCCGCTCACTTCCATCAGTCCACGAGTCTGGTCCTTTTTGCTCCGGGACGCGTCTCCTGACCATCCCCCTCTCTCCACTCACCCGGTCTCCACTACCCTTCCCAATCACCCCTGCCTCAAGTGTCTCCCCATCCCAGCGCAGCTGCCATTCAGCCGCCAAGTAGATCTTCTTAAAGGATGAGTCTCAGCAGGTCATACACCCCCTAGACACACGCACTCAGCAAACTTCAGGGGCTTCCCATCACCCCAGGACCGACTACAAAAAGATGCTGCCATTGACGACTCTCCACCGGGCCTTCCAGGCTTCTTGCGCTCCCTTCTGCGCCAGCCTTCGACCCTCCCAGCCGCCCTCCCGGCCCTGCGCCTCGGTACGGGGAGCGGTCGGCTCTCGGTTCCCCGATTTGCTCCCTCCTGCTCCCTCCCCTGCCCTTTCGAGAGGACTTCCCACTTTCACTGTCCATGACTCCTATCACATCACATGTCTCCCCCATTCAACTGGGAGCTCCTGGAGGGTAAGGACTGGAATAACAGTAATAACCAGACTTCATAAAGCATTGACTATGTTCCAGGCACTTCCTGCACATTTTATCTGATCCTCACAACACCCCTGGGAGGTGGGTGCTATTATTAGCCCCATCTTACAGTTTAAGAAAACCAAGGCCAAAGTTAACTAGTAAGTGTCTAAGGTCTTCCTGCCTCCTAACACAGCTCTGTGCCTACCCTTTGCTTTTCTTCGTATCCCCAGACCCTCCCATAGTGCCTGGCACAGAGTAGGCATTAAATCAGTGTTGGGTGACTGGTTGAACCCTGCTGCCCAATCAACAATTGGGCCTGGGTGCATCAGAACCAGTCCCCTCCTCTCAAGGTACTTGCAGACTCCTAGGGTGGGACTTCCCCCCCTCCCCCCCTCCCCCACCAATCACATAAAGTATAAACATGATAAATGCAAGATAAGGTGGGGAGGGGGCACTGGGAGCCAACGGTGGAGGGAAGGCTTCAGGGAAGAGGGGAGGCATTCCAGGAGGGGGAGGGATGTGGCAGTGAACTCTGGACATGGGGTCCAGTCACTGCAAAGGCAGTGAGATGGCACATGGAGTGTCAGAGGTGGACAATGGCCAGTTAGCCTGGGCTGCCAAGGGGAGGCTGGAGAGATAGCACATCCAGGCTCCCCAACAGAGAGGGAACATCCCAGCCAGTGCAGCTGATTGAGCAGATCAGTGTCCTGGTCAGGCCTCTGCATTAGGAAGACCACCTTGGCAGCAGAGTAGAGAATGGAATGGAGAAGGGAGAACCTGGGTCAGTCACTGCACCTCAGGCTGCCTCTATTTCCCCACCCATAAAATGGGATTAATACTAGGGACGTTGTGAGAATTCAACATAAGTGCCTGGCACGTAGTGGGTTCCATACGCATGAGCACTCTAGTGATTCCTGCTGAGGAGCGGAGGGGACCAGCAGCCTGAGGTGGGGGGGTCTGCACCCAGGGCTGGTGTAGCATCTTCCTCCTTTGCCCTCACTTGGTCACTTGGATGTCTCCACCTTCTGCCTCCCTTGCTTCCCTCAAGTATCAGCCCACATCCCACCTTCTCCAGGAAGCCTTCCGGGATCACCCTTCATGCCAGGGCCACCCTCTGCTCCACCTTCCAGTTTCTCCTGTCCAATTGGGGCCCTCTTGTGACTTCTCCCCACATTGGATCTGGAGCTCCTGGAGGTCAGGGACTGTCTTTTACCTTTCATCCTCAGCTTCTAGCCCAGTGCCTTGCACATAGTAGGTGCTTAATCAATGCCTGGTGACTGACCAAATGTTGACCTTTGCCTCATCTCCCTTCTGGGTGCTCACATCTCCCATAATTGGGATCACTCTGCTCCTGTGTTAGGTTGGGGGCAAACTGCCCATCACCACAAGGGTCAGAGTGAAGCTGCCTGAGCCAGTCAGGCTGCATTCCTTGGTGAAGCTCCCCAGTGGTTGTGCTCGACTAGTCTCTGGCCTGTCCACAGTAGAGCCTGCAGACTGGGCCGCAGCTGTGGGCTGGATTCCATTACTGATCATATGCATTTTTCCAGAGAGATTTTCTGCCTTTGTTATTTTTCATTTCCCCCACAGGCTGCAAGTTTACCCTAAGTGACAAGATTAACCACTGAGACTGTAAAATAATTAGGATTTTAAAAGTTAAATCTGAAGCCTTGTGTATGAATCCCATCCCCTCCCCCTCCCGACTTAGGACATTTCTGAGCCCACCTGAGCCCTGGCCTCCTCTGGGCCCCTCCTCCTGCTGCTGCCTTGGGAGCTCAGACATCTGGCCCATGAGGATAGCCAGAGTCTCCTCGTGGTCCCAGGGAAGGCCTGGTGTCAGGTCTACACTGCCCTATGGGCGGGATGGAACCTTCCCAGTTGTAGATATCTGTCCCCCAAG